TAATGACTATTGCTCGTGTGTGTCATTATGCTACAGAAAACATAGCATAAAGCTAATTATGTCAAAGTCCTACAGTGTTAAAGAGACAAAAGGAAATGCAGCGGGTTTTTCTTTTCTTCCCCTGAAAGCCACTTCTGAGAATGTGTCCAGACAGACAGTTACACTCAGCCTCCAAAGATGCTGGGGGGAGAGTTCACCCCCTTCCTATTACACAGGAAGATCAACATTTTCTACACATTCCTTTGCAGATTTGGACCTGTCCTATTCTTAAAAACAACACCAACAACAACTCATCCATCTATCCATCTTGGGGTAATCCCACCAGCTTTCTAAGCACCAAATATCCAGGCTGAATAAGAAATACAAAGAACAGCATCTGTGGCTGGCATGGGCACTGCAGACTGCTCCAAGTTTTTGGTGTTGCCACAGCCATTAACCTTCATAGTCTGCCTTTGGCTGAGACAAACCCACTGAGCAGAAGTTACTGAACATTTCTGCTGTCTCTAAAGTGCCTCTTTTCTGCAGGACTCTAAGGAAAGACTGCTGCTCCTGTTTCCAGAAGACCTGCTTTTCCTCTCTGTGGATAAGGAGAGAACTGCAATCACATATGAGGTAACAAGACACAGTGCAAATGGTCAAATAAGTAAAGAACTAAGAGAAGCTGGATCTGGTGAGCAGATTTGGGTGGTAAAAATGAATAGCAAGGAGAAAAGGAGAAAGCCTGAAGAAAAGCAATGTTTTCCTTTTCTTTTTTGAAGGGAAAACTCCCCCTGACTGGAATCCAGGCAAAGGAGAAATCCACTGTGCTGGGGAGGTTACAGTTTGAGATTACAGGTATGTAACTGAGGATAGATCATTTGGGAATTTTTCTTCCTGCAAGTGCAGCCAGTTGCACAGAGTAGCTCAGGCTTGCAGGCCCCCTTTGCAGCAGCAGTTTCTGGCAGGAAAAAAACTGCTTTAATAAGAACCAAAGAGGCTTCCAATGCCCCACAGATTCCGTACAAATCCCTTTCACAGCCAGGATATTTGAATCTACCACAGGAGACAGTATCTAGTTAAAATCAGATTTCATTTCTAGTTGCAACCTAAGGCGATCAAACATGCTCTTTAGGGGTTTCTTCTGTTGCTGGCTGCTAAGTCTTAATTGCTTTCTCTGCTTCCCTGCTCGGTTCAACAGCCAGCCCAGTCCCAGTCCCTTATCGCTTCCATCACGGGGCAGCGCAGCCTTCCTGTGGTTAAAAGCAAAATCAAGCTGAAAGCCAGAGGCTGGCTGCAGGGAGAGGGTGCTAACCTCGTGTGGGGACAGTCCCTGTGGCTTTCCTGGCTCCGGGCTCACGCATGTGTCATGGCAAAAAACTTTGCACTCTTTTCCATCACCAAACTGCTCCCTGCTCATGTCTTGCAGGAAGCCTGACTGAACCAATCCTTATCACCTGTTCCACAGCAGAGGATTATGAAAAATTCCTCTTCCACCTACAGAAGGTATTTTTCAGAGCGCAATCTCTCTTATCGAGCTGGAATTTTCCCAGTCATACCTAGATTTATCTGAGATGGATCATCCTCCTAAATTTTCTTTTCCTTTTCCGCAAAAGAGTATGGAGTTGTCTTCAAGCCTATCTTTCTCCTGATAAGTCTCATGCAGTAGGCCAGTAATTATCAATGTGTTTTTCTTTTAAAAATAAATAAATAAATAAATCTACTCTTTCAGCAGGAACTGAATTTGGGTCCTCTTAGGCAAAAAAAACTACTTTACCTACTCCAGAAGTGAAAGACAGATACCTGAGCACCTGATTTGCACAGATTTCAGTGGAAATTACATAGTGAAATAAGCAGAAGTGCTGAGGGCAAGGGGCTGTTTCATGAAGTTTCAGAGGTGTGTTAAAAGTCACACCACTTCCTAAAACATCCGTGTCTGTAGCTTTCAGAGTACACGCTGCACAGTGGGTAACCACATCTGGGCACGGAGGAGAGGAAGGTGAATCAGGAGCAGATGTTTTAGAAGTAGAAAAGATGCTGGGCCCAGAGTATTTATTAATTAATATGGTTTATTCTTTCACTGAGGATGCCTGCATTTGTCTAGTGTGTAAGTTCTTGGCCAATAATACTAAAACTGCATGGGAATACTCTCTGCCAAGAAAATATTCATACATTAAAATAGTATATCCACATGCTAAAAATATCTTCTACGTTCCAGCCGGAGAAAAACCTCGATTCTCTATCACTCCAGCCACCACCAAGCATCCCTAAGAAATCCTGGCAGCATCACTAGGACACCAGCATGCACTGACAGGAAGAAGGTATGTTGAATATGATCCCAACAGAAAGTGAAGAAGCTGCACGAATGAGTAAGAATGGATTGGAAACTGGAAACCGAGCTTCTTTCAGACTGAGAGGTAAAAAAGGATCTACACGTGAATTACTCTGCACTGGCTGCTGTTTTGAATGGACCATTGCAATCTGTGTGGGTCCCTGTGACTCTGACCTCAGTTGTACATATGCCTTACAGAGAAATCTTTCTCAATTTGCTTCCTATATTTATTGCTTGATTCTTCTCGGGAAAAAGAAACACTGTAAAATACTGTGTAAATACTACAAATAAAACCCATAATCCTGAGCCTAAACCATGCGTAGAAAGAAGCATTCGCGTTTAAAAAAACCTTTCCATCCTCATTTAGGTAGCCATCGGTTTGGAAAGCCATTGCCCCCCTTTGAAATGGCAGGCACAGTGCAATTCTTCATGGCAAGCAGCCCCTTCCAATAGCTTTTCCTCCTTGCCTACATCAAGAATGTGTCCCCGTAATCTCTTTGCTCTCTTCTGCCCTCCAAGAAAAACAACCCAAAAATCTCCAGGGTGAATCAAATCTATTCATTCTGGTGCTTTCAAAATATTTTCTTTTGGGTTTATAACACCTTAAGAATCATTGTTACGCTCAGCATAGCACTGAAAACAAAGCGTTGCTGCAAACCAGAACAATCAAGCATTTCATGACACACACAAATCCTCAGTTACCTGCAGGCCAATCATCCAGGTTGCATCCAGGTCATCTGTGAAGTCACCTGAACAGGCCTAGTGTGGTCCCACGGTCCCTGTTTTATCCCAATTTTTCATCTGTGCAGCCTACGCTGGCCACCTGTAAAACAAGAAAATGGAAAGCTGGGTATACTGTAAAAAAATAAATAAAATAAATCAACAGTTTTAGAAAAAATCCCACAAAAGTATATCCATGAGCAAATTATGATTCTCTTTCCCCGATGCTTTCCCAGCCTCTGCTAGGTTGGGCTGAATCCGGGCAACAAATTCAAAACTTTTATGAATAAGTAGGTGCTTAATCACACAATTGCTTAATTTCACTTTCCCTGAGAAAGGGGACTTTTTTTTTCTAAACAACAACAACAAAAACAGGAAGTCCTGTGAAAATATGTATTTTTTTTTTTTTACCTTCTCCAGTTTCAAAACCCTAATAATGTGAAGAAAACACAAGCAGATGTGTTAGCACAACAAAACGCTGCCTGCAGAAATCTTTAGGGACTTGATTTGAGCAAAATCTTTAGGATGAGCAGGGCTGTTTCTATACCTCAGGCAATTCTTTTATCGTGTTGCTTTTTCACTCTTTTTTTGCAGTTAAAATACGAAGAAATCCCCAGAAATCAATGGGGCCCAAAACGCCTCTGATCATCACTTATAATCAAATATTTTTGAGCCTGTATGTGTAATACAGACAGAGCAGTTTGAGATTAAGCAAATGAGTACATAAAAGGGGTATTACCTTATTCTCCTAACTGCTACCCTGCATTTCCTAAAGCTGTGTGGGAAGGTCTTTATCTGATTATGAGTAGCAAGCCACTTCTAAGTATCAAGCTTCTCTGTAATCAAAGTTTAAAACTTTTTTATTTTCACATGGTGAAGTTTCTATAACATTTACAAGTCCTGAAGCAAAAAAATAATAATAATAAAAAAAAATAATATATATATATATATACATTTCACTGGATTTTAATGATTTGAGAGAGAAGCTTCTTTTTAACCTGCAGCCCATACACAGAGATCAAGCTGAAGTTCAAGCTGGAACTTGGAAAAACTACAAGCTCTGCCATTTGAGCTGAAAATTCAGCCGTGAATTAATTCGAATGTTGCAGAAATGCTGTAACTGTGCCCTGATAAAATAAAGCTATGGCTCTGCCTGAATGGAAACCGAAACGTAGTGTTTCCTCAGCAGCTCACTAGTCTGAGCTGATAGCTTTCATTTGCTTTGATGCAAAGTACAGCGCTTTACTGAAATGCTCCAAGGCTTAAATGATTCACACATGGGGTTTTTCCCTCTGAATCTCAGCTTTAAGAAGTCAGGAAATTGGTTGCTTTTCCCATCAATAAACAGCCCTAAAGTCAGGTGGTTAGGTAATTAGGAAGTAGAGCTTTTCTTCAAGGTAGGCATATAGAAACCTGAGAGGCCACTCTGCAAATTTCCAGTGAATAATATGGCACTGTTCATCATCTTTCAGTATTAACTGGCAGCACTGTTGGCTATTCAACACCCACAGCCCAGAAAGTCTTGCACACCTCGCAAGATTTGCCCAACCTGTTGCCAGAGGCACAGACTTCCACTAGACACATCTTTCATCTCCCAAATAGTAAGAGATTCGAAATCTCTTGATTTTTTTTTCCCCCCCAAAAAAAATGTTGCTGTTTCTCTGCCGCTGTGAGGAATGGAAAAAAGCGTCAGCCAGAGTTTCCTGCTTCTTTGGTAGAGCGTAGCTGAAATGCTGGCTTACCACCAGCCAGGAAACGTTAAGCCACTTACTTAAGAAGGGGAAAAAATGCAAGTGCACCCGTCTGAAATACAACAGAAAAGTTTGGAGGTATATTGCTGAAACAGCCAAAGTACTGTAAGACAGGCGAAGTAAGCTGGAAAAGTAAAACTTAATTGCTCTCATGAACACTGAGATGACCTGAGGATTAAAATCCTTTCTTCCCAATTTGCTGAATCATGTAACGCAGACACTTCATTAATTGTCAAGTTTATTTTGCCTTTACAAAAGGTCACAATCAGAAATCTTGGTGAAAAACACACTACATTAAAAAATGAAAGACCAATATAGATCAGAGAGTAAACACGGCCAACACAGAAGAAGCACTAAGAATGGTCTTTACCAGCAGGTGTTTAGACTTCTGAGTATATTAAATCCCACAGTGTACCTGCTTACAAGGCAAAGCCAGTCTTATACTTTAAGCTAAGTTTCCCTGTTTCATCCAGTCCAATGTTTGCCACCTTTCCTTGGGTGAATGCCCAGTCCACCTCAGTTAAGAGTCTGCATATTTCTCAAAGCAACAGAAGAAAACACATTTGAAATTAAATCCACATAGGGATACCTACAGGAAAATTCAACAGAAACACAAGAATTAAAAGCAACAGGATGAGAGAAGGCAAAAATACATTGAAAATACCAATTATGTCTTACATCATGTTTCTGAGGTTGAGAATTATCAGTGTTTCCATCTAATGTGATGAGGAAGCTACAGTACAGGGATGTTAATGGTACTCAACACAGTAACAGGGAAGCTGTAAAACTGAAACTGGAACTGTGATGGAATGAGTGAAGGGTGGGATATTTATATGCTTTTACACAAAAGCTGACTCAAAACTCATTTTTGCCCAGTGTTGGTTTAGTCTTAAGAATCTGCTCTAAGCAGCTTTCTCCAGATAGCCAAACCAGAAGACATTCAAGGTTTTGTACCTATAATTGCAATCCCATTACACAACAATAATTATAGTTTTATAAGAAAAGATATATATATATAATTATATAAAAAATGAGAAAAACATTTTAATTAGTTGAAGCCACAGACTGGATTCCTATCTGAAATCAGTGCCAACTGACAGAAACCAACCAGCCAACACACTCCCCCTTTAAATTCAGGCAAAAGGACAAATTCTAGCCATGCCAGAGCTCTACAAAACTTGAGAAAGCTTTAATAAAAAATCCTGCATTGTTCTATGTCCATCAAAGGGAATATCTTTCAGCTGATGATCAAGTCACTGGAGCTATGCTGGTATACATCAGCAGAAGACCTGGTTCCTTTTATTCTGGAGCGGGAAGGAAAAGGATCAGGAACAAGTGGTTGGCTTCTCTCTGTTTCCCACCGTCTTTTTCTGCTCTATAAGCCAGGTGAGAAGAGTGCACTAAGTCAAGTGTCTTTCTCTAGACAGCATGATCCTTGAGCCTTTCTGAAATCTCTTGTATTTAATTCAATGTTCCAGCTACCGAAGATAGCTGAGTTGTGGAGGAGACAAGGATAAACGTCACTCCCTTCTTCTTCCAGTTTTCCTGGAAGGGATGACAGAGCTTGCATAGAAAAGTCTCTGCAAACACAAAGAACGTGGCCACAGCAGCCTCACCTGGACACCTCTGTGCACCGAGACTGGCCAGCAGGTGCTGCTGTGGTAGGAAAGTGGAGTAGTTCATGGATTAAAAGTAAAGGCCCTTTGCTGCCTAACTAAAAGGGCCACTCGGCAGGAATGCAAAGCCTGCCCAAAGAAGAGCAGTAGTTCTGACTGCTCGGCACAGGTATTTCCATACCTCCTGCAGCCCTGGAGGGACTGATGGCAGGACACCAGCCTGCCAGGCACCAGTCAGGCTGGAGGAGCACCACAGCAGAATATGCAAAGTGGAGTAATAACAAGAAGGGTCTCTTGTCCCAAACAATATTAAGAAGTGCATCAATGAAAAACAACCAAATAACAAAAAAGCAACCCACAACTCAGGAAAACCGCCTAAAACAGTGCAGCTGAATTGAATGTCAGACTGATTTAAACAGCTCCTGTTTCTAAATATGAGTTTTGTTGAGAAGAAACAAAGCAAAATTCCCCCAAACCTGCTCCTTATTGCTATGTACAGAATGATGCTTTATGCACCCGGTCCCTCCCTTTTTTTTTTTTCCTCATTTTTTTTTAAAAGCTGATCTCAGTTCCTCATTCTCATGTCACTTTGCAATTTATCTGTTTTCAGTGCGGACTCGGAGGGTGGAAATAGCCACTCTTTTCTTCTGGTGTTTTGTCTCCATGTTCTTCTTCTGGAAACTGGCAGCTGTAAGTCTCCTCTCGGTGGTGTGGTGCTTGCGGAGCCAGCAGCAGCCTAGAGAAGTTATGTTCCACATCTGCAGTGAGAATAAGCAAAAGCACTGCACACGCATGTCTTCACAAGACCTTTCCCTACACAGACCCACCAAATCACACAGCACATCAGTTCGTACTCTATTTATTAAACTTAACGTACTCCATTCTGAGTCTGGAGCAATGGACACGTATTCTCTACTGAAAAGCCCCAGGGAAGCCCACAAAGGTGCACTTACTGTCAACCACGTGGTATTTTTCTTTCTTCAGTGACCAGATGCAGAAATGCAAGAAGAAGGTCAGCAAGATGAGAACAAATACAGCCACTGCAGTAAAGATGGCCAGGATGGTGGTATACATAGAGCCGTCTGCAACGCGAGCTGCAATTAAATACATTGAATAAAGATTAAGAAATCATATTGTAAGAAATATAATAAATATAAAGAAATCATCATATGCAATCGGTAAAGGAAAGGCAGTGCTTCCAAGGAAATCTTAAGGCTGATTTCCTCTTTCTGTGGCAATGGATAAGCCTGGTATAAAACCAGAGTAGGTATTTGCAGTAAAACTGAGGTGCTCCCAGTCAAGAGTGCCAGTATCACCACCTGTGGGTAAAGAGGCATTCATGCAGAAAGCAGCGCTACCATTTGATCTGTCTACTCTGCTTTGCTCTTTTGATGGATTTGGCTTCAATGTTTTCTTGAAAAGCACTACGGCGAGCTGAATTTTCACACTTGTGTCAGCCCCATGGAGATTAAAAGCAGCACCTTTTTGCAGTTTGTCTCAACACAACGAACAATTTCCCTCAACAAAGGGCCCAGATCTGAAAGTTGCCACTGCCCCACAGGGGCAAAGGGGAGGCAGAAGCAGGAGCAGTGACACTTGCTGTCGTTGACACTCAGTCATTCCTGTGCGATCTGATCCATGAACAGATTTCAGCTGAACACGGTTTCAGCTGTGGGTGTTGTGGACTGGGTGAATACTTGTAAAGGAAGAGGATGACCTACTAAGCTATTGTCTTCCTGAGAAAATCTAGCAAAACAGCAGGTTCAATGGGAAATGGATGGTTTGCAAACTGCGTGCTCTGTTTTAAGGACATTTGCTGGGCTCCTCTCTCTCTTCATTGCTGACATTGTTGTAATGGTGGACTCTCTGCCTAGGTAAAAAGTTCTACCTGTATTAATATTGCAAGAGGCACAACAGTCATTTTCAAAGCCATCTTGAATGACAGCAAGCTCTGGATGGTAACATGCCGCAAATCCACAACAAAAGACATGCAGAGAGCAGGTAGAGGCTCAAGGAAACAAAGCATCGTGAGAAGGTACCTTGCTCCACATCTTCAACAGGGAAGCCACACACAACATTGTGTGTCTTGTTGCCTCGCTTGATTGTTAGAAACCCAGAACCTTCACAACTAAAAGAAGAAAGAGAGTCACATTTAGAATTGTCCCGGCCTTTTCCTTCATTCCTCCCCAGCTTTTTTTCTCATCTCCCTTTCTTCCTCCCCTCCAGTCTTTCCACAGCTTATTTCCTTTGTTCCTTTTTATAGCAGAGCAGGTAAAATTATGGCTGCTTCCCCAAAAAAAATAACATTTGATTACAATTGTTGACATGCACAGTTTTATTTTAGTTTTTGTTACAAGTAATGTCCACATGTGGAATAATTTTGCATCAGTTTGTGCTGGACTTGGAAGCAGGATGAATCCATAGCAGTTTAAGTTTTGCTTTCGGACAAACTACTTAAGAAGCCAGAGAAGAGAGAAAAGTCTCTTGCTTAATTAAAATAAATAAATAAATAAATAAATCATTTTAATCATCTAATGTCATTGGTGACCTGACTTTTGATGCAAAAGCAATTTTCCAATTTAAGGATTTATCATGATAAATGTATTGTACATATTACCAAAGAAGAAAAGCATCAATAAATACGTACTCGGTCCAGTTTTGGCACCAGCTATTCTTAACATTAGAATAGGTTCCTATCTCACATGGTTTACATTCAAATGAGTAGTCAATAATGCCTATAAGAGAAGAGAACAGGAATTAACAGTGGTCAATGCTTTTACTGGAAGGTGGGGGTAATCTGAGGATGATGTGTTTCCTCTACACTCTTTCTGCAGTATGAATCACCCCCCTGGAGAAATACGTAAGCAGCTCTTGCCACCTTTGTGTTTTGCAAACCTATGGGTGTTACCTTCTGAGGCCATGGTATAAATGCCATTTTCCTCCCTTGCATTGCAAGCCTTCCCAAGAGGGGACTATAGTAAGTGAACAGAACCATCAGCAAGCTCCTTATATTGACCTCTGCCTTTTAGAGCCTGTTTTGTTTATTTACCACGCTTAAACGGCTCCTCGCCTTCTGCACATTCAGGCAGTTTTTGACAGGAGTCGCAGGCCCGATTAGCGCAGCTGTAGCCCTGAGGACATCTGCAGTCCGTGTCCTTGATTTCTGCACATGGCTTGTCGGCTGTCAAGAAGAAAGAGAGAAGTTAGGCCTTTGTAACCGAGGCCAGAAATGGCTTTCACCATCAGTGCTACTGGCAAATTGATCCCATCACTATCAAGTAATTCTTTCACCAGTTGGAGACCAGTGAGAGGAAAAATGCTATTCAACTAGGAAGTTTTGTGACCTTAAAGGAAAAAGAATAAAGAGAGAAATGCTTAAAAACCCACAGTTAGTGGCAAAGATCAAACAGAGATCATTTCCTGAGATTGATGATGGAATGTACAGGGCCACCAGGATGCTGCCCACATCTTCCTCTGCTCATTGCCGGTCTCTTCTTATTGGTCTTCAAAATGTAAGGAAGGCAGAAAAAGAAAAAGAAAAAGAAAAAGAAAAAGAAAAAGAAAAAGAAAAAGAAAAAGAAAAAGAAAAAGAAAAAGAAAAAGAAAAAAAAAGCTTTGGGATGCTTCTCTCAGTGTATTACTAGTAGATGAGTCTAGAGTTGATCCTGGAGTTGATCTCACCAAGCAATGACTCTTCTACATCTTGCTGAAAGACCTGATCTCAGAGGGAAGGGGAATGCTGTGGGGTCCACTGTGAAATGGATACGCTGCCTCCTGCACACAAACCCTCCAATGTACCTCAAGGAGGCCATGGGACCCTATTTTAGGACAGACAGGACAGAAAGGTGCATCCTTTGCTGAAGGTCATGCAAACAGCTGCATGGTCCCTACTACTGAGCTCTGGCTGCTGTTTTGGACAGCGCTAGATGAGGACACTGTGATTGTTGCTGGGACCATGGAAGAGGCCATCAGAGTCACCAGTTCTGTCCTTCAGCCTAGCAGGCATGGGGATGTCACCCCCTCACCCCTGCAGCCAGCCTGCTCCACCTCCAGTGTCTTCATTTGACTCAAAGTCACAGACAAGCGAGAATTCAGTACCACATCACCACTCTAAGGTCAGGCAAGAATACAGGTTAGACGAGGCTGTGGAAACTAGAAATCATCTGAGACTTTTTCTGGGCATTCATTTCTCAGACAAGCGTAGGTCAGAGGGATGGAGGGAATGAAATGGGATCTTCCCACTCTCAAAACTACAAAAGGCAACAGAGAGCATCACGCCCTGCGTTCCCTCCAAAGTCTGAATGAGACAGTCAATGCCCCCAGACTATGTCTGAGTGGAGCAAGGGCTCAGGAGTTATGTGAACACCTTTTTCCCAAATGAGCAAGGCCAACCCCCAGAAAACTAACTCTCCCTTTCCTGCTACAGAGCAAGCACAGACACATAACCAACCTGAAACAGGAATCCATCCTGACACAAAGGCACATCTTGAATTTAGGCAGACAGGAGGGAAGCCCTTGCGGTTTTGTTTTGCATACACAGCTACTCAAGATACATTTACACATGCACCTGTTCCCCACACTGCAATACCCTGGCTGACACAAAGCACTAAAGAAAAGCAGAGAGACAAAAGACACATCATTCCCTTACCTGTGTCTGAGACGCATTTAGGGCAGCATTTCTTTACACCCTTACTGACCATTCTCATCTCGCCCCCCTCGCATGGTGTTGCCAGAGTTTGCTGTGTCCATTGGCACAGGCACAGCACCAGCAGCAAGAAAACCTGAGTCTTGAGGGGCCCAAATTCACTTTTCTGTGCAGGCATCTCTCAAGCTATGCAACCCCAAAGCGCGCGAAAGTGGTCTGGTATCAGGGCTCCCCCTGCAGAAGTCCTCCTTCCCCTGACACTGGGGGAAGGCAGCAGGCTTTTTGTAGTTGTGGCTGTGCTCTTCCTGTTCCTGTTCCTTTAGGGGAGGGGAAAACATTTTGTTTTACCTCATCAAATGCTTACAGGGCAAAGCAATGATGCACCAGTGGCTCCACTGAGAGAGCAGCTGATTATGAGCAAGATGGAGCATCACATAATTCGATTTTCATTGAATTTTCAGTTGATATACAGTGGATATTCAGTTGATATACAGTGGACAATTAATGCAAATTATTCCATCTGGGTGTGAACTGCAGCTCTCTCAGACTATTTCATTCTGACTTACAGCTCCTTTGGAAACCCTCAAGGATTTAACTATCAGGTGTGCAGTGTATTGTAACTCCATTCACCCACACAGATTTTCTGATTCTGCTCTCTGATTTCAACTTCCTCACAATCTGGAGCAGCAGACTCCTGAATTATTTTCCAGAGCTGATATAACTTGATATAGATACCATGAAACCACCAGAAATAATGCTGCTGCAAGGTCAGCCCTCATACCAAAACTGAGAACAGCCCCACAAGGCCTTCTAGGGACCCGTGCAGCTCCTCTGCCCCCAATTCCCTGGGATGCAGGTAGCAAAAGACAGCTCCTCAGCAAAATTACACCAAAATTACACATGGGCACAGCCATGTCACGACCCGTAATCACGACCTGCTGCTGGATTTCAATTCCACATTGTCTCGTCCCATACAGACACAGACACACACTTCAATCACTGCTTTATGTTTGGCAGCTTGTTTTTTTATTATTATTATTTTTATCTCATTTTACTTTTCTTTGCCCTTTTGCATTTCAACTGTACCTTAGCGTTTGCTTCTATCCGTGCAGCTTGTGGTTACTTTTATGTGTGCACGGCGAAGATAACGTTTCAAATCCAACCTAATTCTCATCTGAGCAGATGAATTCAGACACAGAAGCAGCTCTTAACGGATTCTTTTCCACGCTGCATGTGATGACACATAGGTCAAGGCAAGGGAGAGTCAGACCTGTGAAGAGAGATGAGTGCATGTGGAAAATGCCATGCCTTGGCATTTGACGCTTGCTGCGTTATTTCCTTAGTTTAACACACAGTCTATGAAGCCTAAACAAATTTTGCAGGCAGATCCCAGCCTTTGCTGTGTTCTGCACCTTCCTCCTGAAGATTTCATCCACAGATCTCAAAGAGAAGGTCAGTTATCACACCTCTCACTTAGTCCTTGGTCAGGCATCTATTTACCTGTGCTCCTACCACGAGCTGGAAGCAATTGGATTGATTAGGTACACAACAGACCCTTCTAGTTTTACAAACACATGCTGCAAAGCTTCTTGTACTGCTAAACCTGCTAGGTGAAAAAGCTTACATCCAAGCTAGCTGCAAGCAGGCTAAAGGCACCAGTCTCTGTGGTTTGTTTTCCCCACAAAATGCCCCTAGAAGGCCCGCAGTTAAATTTCTGAAAACGTAAGCCTCCTTCTTTGTACACCTACCACAAAGGAGATCCCCTTTCCTTCCATCACATGCTGCTCCTCACACATGTCACAGCCTGGAGGAAACCCAGCGACACGCAGAGGGCTCGTGCTGCTTCCCAGCTGGCCACCGAGGGCTGGAAGCCACCAGCCACCCTTTTTGGGCTCTGATGCAAGGTTCCCACCGCCAGCTCGTGCAAAGAGCAAAACCAGAAGGCCTGGGCTCCACAGGAAAGGCCACGCGGTGCTTCCCTTCCACAGAAAGCACGGTACCATCAGCAGCCCCTGAAGAGAGAAGAGGGTCATAAGAGGATTTTAAGACTCTGCTGAGTCTGATTGCGAAGGCAAAAGCACCAGACACTGCAGAGATACATTCTGCAGACCGATCTGTTATGACCACGTCTGAGCTGCACACAGGCCCTGACCAACTCTGAGGGGATTTTTATTGTTCTCTTGTAAGAACAGGTTGAGAATAAAGATAATGTGTTTCAAAACAGCTACATTTATGTTCACCCCAGGGTGTTTTGATGACAATACCATTGAAAATGCTTCTGCTGCTGCTCTCGTGAACAGTTTGCTACCAAACTCAGCCTCACACCTTCCCCTACCCTATACTCCTTCCCCAGCAGACGGAGGCTGGTGCAGGGTGGAAACAGCACCAGCACCTTTTAAATCCCCTTACCACACGTAAAAAATGGGACAGGAGGGGGTACACCTTCCCCGTTCAGCCCAGAGCTTGCCTTTGCTCTGCAAGGCCTTGTCCAAGTCTCAAAAAGAGGCCGTTGGTCTCACCTGCTGGGAAGCGTTTATCAGGCTGGGAACCAATTTTCCCTCAGTGTTTTGGAACAGATCACTCATTTCCCTCTCTGTTTGGGAATGTTGGTGCTTTCTGAACTGGTCTCTACATGTTTTTGTTGTTGTCAAAGCGCTACAGTCGTGTGCAGACACCGCCAGATGACAGGACATGACGGTCAGATAACAGACACCAGCACATGCCAAGACTAAACGGCTCGAGTCAGCAGTGACCTTTCAGAGACAACACAACTATCTGGCTGCAAAATCTCTGGGGATTTTCTAAAGCTAATCTTACCTGTCTTTGAGGTAGTGACATTTCGTCTGCCAACCCTTTCTTGCTCAGCCCTGTGTGTTTTGCATGTCATTACCGCCAGGGCCTGGGTCCCATCCTGCTGCCTGACCTGGCCAGGTTCTCAGCAGGCTCTGCACCTACTGGTAGAACAAATGCCCATTTCACCCAGCAAAAAGCAGCAGTTTTCTCATCTCCTCTTCACCAGTTTGGTGGCTGTATTAAGCAGGAGCTACAAAATTAACCATACAAAGTTCAACTAAAACTAAACACTTTGGAAAGCAGCACTCTTTACATTTTTCAACTTGCTACATGAGCAGAGGTCCTGTCAATCCACTTGACCTGTGTTCAAAATTATAATCCCAAGGGTTAAAAGGCCATAGGAAGTAATGCAATTTTCAGGGTTGCCTGAGCACTTATATCACAACGTACTTTCTCCTTTGCATGCAACAGGAGGACATGGCACAGTCTAGAACAGGCAAAGAGATGAAGCTAGGGGCTGAGACATTCAGAAAAGCCTCAGGGTTTAGAGTCTGCAGCTGTCAATAAAAGGGAGCATCCAAACACAGGAGCATCCAGTACAAGTGTGTGGAGTTTGGACCGAATGGTCTCTAATGCCAGGCTCTAGTTCCTCAGTCTTGGAGGAAGAGGTCTTAATCTTCTCTGTCTCCAAGAAATGAACCTTGCTTCTGAGTGGGGCCTCAATGCAGCAGGAGACCCAGGGAGAATGGGTTTCTTTTCTTCCCTTCAGCAAAGGAAAGGGGGCACAGAAACAAATGTTACCAGACACCAACTACAGTGACTTATCTCCTGCTCCAATCCCCCAAGGATCATGCCAATACCTAGCTGTCAGTTCAGGGCAGATTCAGATAGAAACAGGTGAACACAACAGAAGAAAAGCTATTACAGATCCCTCAGCCCCTTCTCCCTCTCTGCTACCATGACCTGCATGCACAACACTAGGAGGGGTGCTCAGGGATGAGATTTGAAGGAAGAACCAGGGAATTCTTTCACCTGATGAAGCTCACCAATTTGGCAATTTGCGTGCTTCAGGGCACGCATTTCCACGATTAATTTCAGAGATGGCTGTGAGTTCTAGTTTCACCCACCTTAATAATGATATCTCGCCACAAGCTGAGTGTTACACTCGCTGCCAGGTGACTCATTTTACAGTTCTCATTTTGTCTGAGGTCACTGGAGCCACTGGTTTGCTGACTGTTCAAATTACCTTTTGGGAAGAACAATAACAACAACAAATGACAACAGCGTAACTGCTTCTCAAAGGTAATTATTTCTTGCAAGTCGTGTGGCTTTGCAGACACTGCTCGGACTTGGTGCTGTCAATGGTAAGTCAGGGAGAGTTTTTGGTTTACTGACAATGAGATTTTGCTGATTTCTTATAACGGGTGATTAAAGCAGCAAGCCATGCACTTCTACAAGTAAGAGGTTATTCATGTGAAGTCAATGTAATTTCTGAATGACTATACATTAGACCGAAGTAGAAATTGCCTCGTAAGCTAAAGCTATACCTCATAAGCTCTTTTTGTCCTAGCTGTAGAAAACTCCACTGCTAACTAAAGGATTTATACATTGTACAGAATTTGTCTATATTCTTGGAAAGCAAACGTCAGTCTTTATTATAGATCCCTTTGCTGTGCCATGACAGCGATACGAGGAGTAGCTTACATGAGGTGATGTGATTTGTTGTACCTGCAGCAGAGCAGCAGCTCTGGTGGGCTGCAAGAAGCGTGGAGGAGCAGCCAGGGCAGCAGCAAGCACACAAGCCTGGTGCCACGACGGATACAGGGACAGCAGTTCTCCAGCAGGATGCCCTCTGACAACTGACAGAGCAGTGATTTGGCTGCATCTGGAAACTAGAAAACAAAATTGTTACGTGTTCCTTTCACTCCTTGGGATTTCGGAGTGAATGGGACTGGCTACCATGGGGTTTCCAAGAACCTGGGGTATTTGCTGTGGCTGTTTAAGGTCTGCCCTCTTTTGGCCCATGAGGAGAATTACTGCCTTGCAAGCCTGCGACAGATAGGGCAGGAGTCAGGCGATACAGTAGAAGAGGTCTGCATAGTGCCACGTGTGGTTTCTCTAGGCAAGATAAATTCTTCTCGCCCCGAAAAAAAAAACAACAAGGGCATTACAAAGACCGGATCCTTCCTTTGAGCAGCAGGACACACACAGAACCTCTCTGGGTTACTTACACTGCCTGCCCACCAGCAGTGACAACTCCCCACAAAGGCAAGAGCACAGGCTGGGTAGTAAAAACATTGACATTTCATAAAGGGAAAAACTTTATGAAACCAGACAGAGACAAAAAACTCAAGCCACTGACGTTACTAAGCTGTGCGTTTCCTCTTCAGCTTGCCACCATGTACAGCGTGTCATTAGATGTGACCTTTCTGAGGTTTCTCATGGCAAACCTGAGTCATTTTGGTGTACTTCCAGGTCAGAGGAGAAGGTGGTGAGGAAGAGAAAATGCATGACACATAGGAGCTGCAGTAGCCACGACACATAGAAGCTGCAGGCGCTAGCACTTTTCATATATTTTTGGAGGGATAAAAAAAAAAAAAAAAAAAAAAAAAAAAAAAAAGACAAAGGAGAAGTTTGTTTTTCAAAAGTTTTTTTTTTTTTTGCAGCAGTCCTATGACCCAACCTCCATCTGTGGAGGAGAGCAATTCCAAACAAATAACATAATGTGCTCACCCCAGGCCCTGTAAGTCATGGCTAGTGCAATTAAAGTTAAATTATTCATGGAAAAATTGGCTTTATTCTCAAGTACAAAATTATAGCCTTTTTTATAGGTGGTTCTTAAAACAACAAAGAGGTCAAATTTCAGTGACAATATTGATGCAGAAAGTTTTACATGGGCTTAAATGAATTCCTGAACCAGGGCTCTGTGGTGTCCAAGACGCATTTACCTTACAAATCATAAAACTTCACCAACTACTCTGCCACTGTAAGTTCACGCTAAAACCAGAGCTTAGAGTTGCTTGCATAAAAGAAACCGGTATCTTTGCAATCAGAAAGAGAGGCTCATGGCTTTTTTTAAGGTAAAAAAAAGGCAATCAGTTGTGTTACACCGGAAAAAAATCTAGAATAGCCTTATCTTCATCAGCTTAGATGAAGAAGCACAACTCTGCCCGTGTCGCTTGAGTGCCTGAAAAGGGGGAAATCTGAATGGCTGAAAAACAGGAACTTACTCTGTGACATAGCCCATATCTTTGAGAAGGGAAAGTTTTATTTCTAGCACGTAGGAAGACAAATGTAGGCTGAAAGCAGCACAAGGTGTTCAAGAGGCTCTGCCTATTTTTAACCGGGGGTTTTAGGGCTTGTTTGTTCCATGGTTTTCATTCTGGAATGAGAAACCCAAGCAGGTTTTTGACAGGAAAGCAACAAGACTGATTTAAACATTATCCCTTTATTCAGAGCAAAGTAGCCACACCAGTTCATTAAACCAGTCTACCAACACCCAAATACTCAAAAAAAAATCAAATCATAAACATAAGCATTAAACGTTACCATGGTATAACTGCAGAAAGGATTATAGGTTGTCGGCACAGGGGTTGGATACAGAGGTCCTACAGCAGCACAGACAGGCTCACGGTCACACGTCACCATAAAAGCCAGCAGCACAGACTTCCTGATGCACACAAGCCACAAGGCCTGCTGGATTCACTCCACTTCTCCACGCTGATAAGCAAATTCAACTCGTGCTCAGCTGCCCTCGCTTGGCTGTGCACTTCCAGGGCCACCACCAGTTTATAATTCTGCCTGATGGAACAGCCCAGGCCCCATTTTCCAGGAAATCTCCCCATCAGGAGGCTGTAGGAGGGCACAACAACACGGAGCACTCGAGCATCTTCCTGTGCAGCTCAACCAGAGGGCAGAAAACAAGAAAGATTCGTGGAAGCAGCTGGTGAGCACACACCACAGCAACACCTCCATAAGCACCTCGTCTGTTCCTGTGGGCTGTGTGTTGCCATCATTACCCCACAGCCTCAAATAGCTCATCGCTTATCTGCACCGTGCTCAGTTATGTGGAAACGCGGTACGAGCAGTATTGCCTCGGAAGGGCAGGCTACAGACCTGATAAGCATTGTTTCTGAGAAGTGGCCGCGTGCTCTCTGGAATCCATTTCCCAGATTCATCCATTGCACTCCGCCGATTCACAGCATCTAGACCACAGCGCGCTTTCAAAGACTTCTACATTCATAACTTTGTTTGAAAGGGCTGAGCCTTATCGTCTCGAACCACCCCGCAGCTCAGGTGGGAACTGCCACCAGACACAATTCACAAAGCACAATGCTACACCACTCGCTCAGCTCACCCAGACAGCGTGTCAACTTAAAGCCTGCTAAGCCAAGGATTTGCCCATTTGGGGATCCTGCTTTTTGTGAGAATTACACTTCAAGCAAAGCATGGATCTCTGTTCTTGCAGCTAGGTCACTGCGTCCAGATCTAAGCTACCCGATAATTTTGATATACTTCAGCTGAGACAGCAGAGAAAAGCTCACACACCCCTTCTTTGTCACAATTAGCACAATTAGGGAATTCCTCTCATTGGCAGTCTCAGGAAAGGTCAGGGTCCATGGGCTCAGGCTACTCCCATTGCAGTCAGTGGCTATGATGGTGCAACAGCTGAGTGTAAATAAGTTTAATTAGCAATTAATAGAGCACCCTCCACCATGCTTGTAAAATCACAAGATATCACACCAGGTCAGGATGAACAGAGTAGTCTAAAAGGCCCCCACATGACTTTAACAAAAAAACTAGAAGTTAAAGTCTTCAGAAGGTCCCTGACAATTGAAATAATTTTTTAAGGGTCAAATGCCCCGGTACAGGAACCTTCTGAAAAGTCAATGCCCATCCTAAGCTCCCACACTGGAGTAATACCATTGGTTTCTTTGTACTCCCCAAATCATACACATCAAACACGCACATCTAGCCACTACTACAATTTATTTGAAAAACTCAGTACTATACTTCATATATAATACAAATATTTATATACATTGTATATGCACTTCAAAATAGGAAGCCACTAAGTACACCATATGTATAACATATAATGAAACATATGTTTAAAAACATGTTTTTAGATAACCAGCTGTATTCTTGAATACATTTCCGTGCTGCATATTTTGCCATATGCTTTGGCACTATGTATATAAAATATGAGTTATCTACTAAGGAGTATTTGAAGTGAAAACAATTCTGAATAACTTTCAAGTTATATCAAACTTTTTTTCCTCAAACTTTTACACTGAGATATTTAAATTACATCACAAGCTATTCAAAATAACACTTGCCTCTCAGACATTGGGCTTTGAATTTGTTATCTAAAATTTGAAAGTTCTTTAAAAGACACATCGATTAACTCACAAAAAAAAAAAACATTACAGAAGTAAAATTAATTTCATACAGCATGCAGGCAAACAACCAGGTGTATTTTAACTGTGAACAGATCACACGAAGAAAACTTCAGTTCTGAAGGCAGATTCAAGTGACAGTACACAGAAGTGAGCATCCATATGAACGGTACCTATCCACTGTTTCATGATCTTCACACATCTTTGCCAAAATACAACTCTTGAAGGCCCATATGGTCACACTGTGTTAAAAGTTCGGCTTGCCTCTTATCAAGAGAGAACATCTAGGGCATTATCACCACAAATTATCATTCATCAGCAGAAAAAACTCTAAACGTCCATTTACATGCTACTAAACCTAGGACATAAAAAGGTTTTCCCCAAATCCAGACCACCTGGAAACAAACTTGCTTGTGTGTTTCTTCCTTTATCCACAGCATTACTTCGAAGCAAGCAATCAACTCCCACAGAAGTGGTTTAAACTACACTATTTTATTCTTCAAGCTTGACTGAAGCAGCCTTGCTGGGGATAGACACACCAGGACATTCAGCACAACAGAACATCCACCAAGAAGCAGCACAGAGCTTGTTGTATGTACAAAGCTTACAGATCAAAACAGTTTTATACAGCAACTAAGTCTACAGTCTACTTTCCCCCTGCTCTGAATTACAGTTTTCACTAATCACGTTCTAATCAGAAATTACCATTCCCTTTGCAGTGAGTACACGGATTCTGCTTTCCACACAGATGAAGATCTCACAGAGATTTCCAAACACTTGGAGATCTGGAGCTACTCAGTGGTGGTGAATCATTCCACTTGTTGGCCTGTGGGGATACTGCTCAATGTTAACGTGACATTTTCTCAATGGGTTTGCCCAAAAGAAAGGCAGAAAGGAAAAGAGTGGCACTGAATAGCCATCTCTTAATCATTGCTTAAAAGCCAGCACCAGAATTAGCAGCTGTGACAACTGTCTCTGGAGGCACAGTTGATGTATGCCACTTATTTTGACTAAGAAAATAAAAGATAAACAAAATGGAAGCACAAAGGAAACTGGCTAGGTCCATGCAAGGAGATTCTCCACCTAAAAGGAAGAGAGCTCCTTTGGGAGCTCAACTGAAACCCTGCAAATGGCTCCACTGAGAGAAGAGACGTGTCCTGCTCAGCACCTCAGAATTGTAGGGCAAGATATAAGCCTAGTTATAAAGCAGGTCTTTTAATTTTTCCCTGTATGTCAGTTTGCTCAGCAATTAGCTCTTACAGCTTTGTAAACACTTTCTGCAGCCCAAAGACAAGTGGCTAGGAATGCAGAGGGCTGTATCAACTCAGGTCCAGTACCAGGGATGCTGTGCACAGGATCTGCCTAATAGGAAGAGTCACAATTTGAGAGCAGCTACTCCCATGGGTCCTAATGCCAAAGGGATGACTTAATGAGCCCCAAAGGACTGGAAGTGCAATTAAACAATTACAGACATCCACACAGATAGCCGCTGAAAGTTGTGTCACGTTAGTCGTTAGGACTGATCGGCTCAGAAACGCAGGAAACAGTAACACAACGTGAAGTCAGTTTTTGATGAGACTGGAATTGGAGTCAATTTGTTCTTCCTGGACGGGAATTCGACAGCTCCTTTCTTCTGAAAGACACACACACACACACACACAATAATGTACAGAGCAGAAGGCAAAGGAAACCCAGGGATTTTCCTAGGTTCATGGACAACTAGGCACCTATGAGTGACTTTTGGTCGCTGCTTGACCTTCCAGCCAGTATTAGGAAAGACTAAGCACCAGAAACAGTGAAAATAAACTATAGCACTGCTCCCTGAGTGGAACAGGAGGCAGCTGTTGCCTGAATCAGAGCCAAGCTACCACTTAATTCCAAATAGAGAGCACAGTTTTTCTCAGTCAAGCGTTTCCTGCATTTGCAGAAGACACTTCAAGACATTTCACTTCTATGTGGGCAAAAAAGTTCACACAATATACTCTTAAAGATTCTTGCTTTTAGATCCTCTCTGTACTGAGTAGAATTCTATGCACAAATTCATTGCTTTTTTTTTTTCCCCCCAGGGATTAAGGGGGAAAGAAGAAGAAAATAGGAGATAAAAATGAGAGCAAAAGAAGAATACAAACCAAGTCAATTAGTTAATGATACACTGGTATATGCTCTAATGAGTCAAATCAAGAGCTGCACAGGAATAATTTCACATAATTTCCAGCAGTTCTAGAAACTCAATCCTTCTACACAGCAACAGGCAGGGGAATCTCTGCTCTATAACACTGCAACCCTGACATACTATGACCTCCAGTGCACCAGGAATAAGAAGAGGAGTGAACGTGGGCTGAGCAGCACAACACCATCTGTGCTTAATACCAGGCAGATTTCATTATGATGGAAACAAAGTGCAACTAAGCGGCCAAGTGACCCTGACTAATTCTCTTTCCTATATATTTTTCTCCCTAACGAGATACTCACTCTGATGGTTGCTCATATAAGGCCTCTTCTTGGTCGTTTTTTTGGCTGCTTGGATAATCAACAGGAAGATGGACATTCCAGACACCATAAGCAGTATCAGACAAATAAGGATAAGTGATAGAGATCCTGGTAAAAAAAAAAAAAAGAGAAAGAATATACTAACAAAGATTTATGATTCTAGCTGGAATTTCCATGAGAAAGACTCATTAAATTTGTTTCAAATGAAAATTACCAACTAGCTCTCAAACAGAGAGACTAGACTTGGTCATACTCTCTCCTTACCCCAGTTAGTCTCTGTGGGGCTGTTTGCATCTGAGCAAATAACGGAAGGGATCACACTGGATTTGGAGGGTGAGAGCACTGTAGGTGATGTATTATTCCTGTGGCTGGTAGTAGAAAGATCCAAAGCAGATGTTGCATTCTGAGGAAGGGTTGGCTGTGTCACATGGCTGCTGCAAACAGCATCATCTGTTCTTGTTCCTGCGCGAAGAGTCGTTTTCCCAACAGAGCTGCAGCTACGGATGTAAAATAAGTTCGTGTAATTCTTCAAATAGTTGCAGTAATGACTTTATTAGCCACCTCCATGGAACAAGAGAGTAGACACTGATCCCTCTGTTCTATCAATACACACTCAGGCTTCACCTTTCCTAGGTTCTACAGATACATCAAGAACAATTAAGCTAATCCAAGTTATTACCAGAAAAACTGAAGCTCTATTTTTGTTAGCATCTATGCATATAGTAGCCTTGAAGCACAGATGCATTTGGCAAGGGAACTTTTTGCCACAGACATCTCCAGACCTTTTAAAAAAAGCTGAGACTACTGCTGTTGCCATATGTGAAGCTAGAAAGGACAGAAAGCAGACAGATGTCTCAAATCAGTACACAGAAACTGTGCTGGTGACTTGGGAGTCATCAGCAATGTGGTTTCACTGAATTTACTGCTCGTTTATTCTAAACATCGTAACTTGGGCATCAGTGGCTACAAAGGTAAACCCAAAACATTGCTCTGAATGCGTTGGGCTCAGTGATACATACTTGGTCCAAGGTTGACAGTTCCCATTTCCCCCTGTGGAATAAAACCCTTCAGGACATGGTAAGCACACTGGAAAAAAAAAACAAAAAACAGGAATTGAGTAACTCAGCAGTAGTTATGCCAACAGCTTCTAAAACAGACCCAACGAAATGCACACAGCCTACAGAAACCATAGGCTTTGTCGAGTCAGAAGTAGCATGGCATGCCCAGTGGTTCATTTTAGTCTGCAGCTAGCAAGGTTTCCTGTCTTCTCTACAGGCTAATTATGCATATTAATGAGAGCATTAAGACTTCTGACAGCTCAAATTATGCAATAGATGTTTGCACAACTGCTATAAACACTTGCTTGGAAATACCAACGGGATAAATGACAACAGCTTTTGTACTAGAAATAGCAACTGTCTCATCTGAAGCAGAAGCAATAGATTGGGAAATAATGTGTCCCTAACTTACCACTCCCCAAGGGATATCTGTCATCTGGCATGTAACCGGGTATACACCTGCAAACTCTGTCAGAAGTCTTCTCACACTTCTTCACTTCCACGCTCCCCTTTGCTAAGGATGATAAAGGGAGACATGAAATTAGACAAGGGAGAGAAAAGAGATTAGAAAGCACAGATTAATCTCTCAGTGCCCACCAACTGTGCGTAGAAACACACTGCAAAGTTTAGCAGTGATTCTTGAAACACCAATTTTCGGGCAGCGTAAGCCCACTTCCCTTTGAAGGCTCTATCGTTGGTATCAACCAGGAGATACCAGCTATGGAAACGATAACCCAGAAAGTCTTTGGGCTCAGTTTTCTCAGGAGATAGGCTGCATGACATCAGCCTTTGAGGAAAACACACACAGACCGGCTCCCTCCCAGCTTCCTGTCGAGGACTGACTGTTGTACAACCAACTTACTCGTTTTGCAGATGGTACAGCTCTTGCACAAGTTGTGGCTGTAGTCAGTACTGAAGTATTCGTTTTGACAGGGGGCACAGACCGTGTCTGTTGTTGCTGTGCAGCGACTTCTCATCCTTTCACCTAAAAAAGGCCACGCAGGAGGAGCAATTGATCGTTATCAGAAGGAAATCCTCTTCACTTTTACACACTAGAGCAAGTGCCCAGAAAAATCACAGTTCCACTTACAACTCTGCAACATTCAGCAGAGCTTTAGGTATTTCAGAATTAAGAAATTTGTCCCATAGCATCCCTGCAAATTAAGCAGGCCATAAAGGCCAGCTGACTTGCTAAGAGTTGAGGTCCCTGATGCATTCCCAGTATCCCGGTGTGTTCCATGCATCACTTCTCCAGGCTGCTACTCACATGGTTTAGATACCAGGGTTTGCAGCCAATGCCAATAAGGAAAAAAAAATCAGTTTTTATCATGGTAGTAGGTCTGTTATCTATGTAACACAGTGGCTTTGTGACAGATCTTGCCTTCCCGTATGAGATATCTCATGCAGTTCAAGGCAAAGTAATCCGGAACAGAGAATATGATGACAGACTGGTTAGGTTTCAAGGCAATTCACTAGTGAAGCATTCGAGAACATACACTTGTAGCATCTTCCTGTTGGCATCCTCAAAGCCCATAAGGCATGAATGAATGGCTCTGTGCTTTGATTTACATCTGCATTACCCGCCAGCAGCATCAAACGCTACCAGCTCCATTTTATTTACAGCTAGACAGAAGAAGAGGTAAGGCGGGCATTTCCTACCACTCCCAGCAGCATACGTGCACCACATGTTGCATTTAGAACCCAGTTAGAGCCAGGCTCTGAATGTCTGCATCCAGATACCACCTGTATGACACACAGCATGCTCGTGGAGGGACTGATTTATGCACTGGGATCTGTGAGCAAAACTACTTGTCCAAATTGAATCGGCAAACTAACAACCAGCCTCTGAAAAGGCGTCGGAGACGTTCCTTCCATCTCACTGGCTTCTCTCCATACAGCACAGGCTGCAGGAACAGCTTTAATGACTAGGGTTTTACAGCTGAAGCTAAATATTATCCTTAATTAGTCCTTATTCTCCCATAACGCTTTCATTTTAGTCCTGCACTCTCCATTTCGTAGGTGAACAACGAGCACCAAGCCTCTTGCTCACTCTGATTTTTCCTCTGTATTTTACTGAGTGCTGTCAGCAGCAAGAACAGGAGATTCTGAGCAACCGCACTATATATAATTCGTTTCTCCATTTTCACCACCTACATGATGAGGAAGAAATGCAGGAATTTCCCCACGATCAGCAGATTAGCTAACAAAGCAAAAAAAACTGGTAAGAGCTCTTTCAGAATAAGTGGTAACCAAATTTAAATATATAGGATTATCTGTGTCTGCTTACAAGCATGCGTTTCCTTAACCTGAGTTGAGAAATATTCAGATTTCAACAGTTTTGAGAATAATGCAACTGCCTCAAGTCTTAGATTTCAGGTTGAATGGGGATGATTTCTTCCAATCAGCAACTTTGAAGATAATTATGCTAGTGTTCAATTTCTTCTGCATCAATTTTATGTAGTAGAGAATTATGAAAAGAAAAAGCAACCATTGTGGAAGAAACACACAGAGCCCCATGCAAGATTTAAAGTTGAAACTACACTTACAGATGGGATCTGAACACCTTCTTGGGGTGTGAACGTACACTTTGAATTCAGTTAACATTGATTGCCCCTTGAACAGCAAAATTATCTGTTCATTGTGGTTACACTTCATCACAAGCATTACTTTAATGAAACCCAACTATTGCAGTGTTTGAGGCTTGCTAGTTTGCATTTGTGCTTCTCAGCATCGTTTTCAATGATACTTGGATGTGGAAAAAATGCACAAAACCTAAAATTTATACTCTTTTTATAAAAAGGAGAAAAATACAGTTCTCGTCAAGTCATGCTTTGCTAATCTAGATCTGTGAATCAGACTTGCTTCCCTTCACAGGGGAAAAATAAGTAAATGTGGAATTTCTTCACAGACCAACAGAAGTTGTGTGCCTAGTATCTGTAACTCAATTTTTAATGATTTCTCTCTTAAAAACACCTGAAAAACTTAAGGCACCAAGTCTTAAGTAGTGTAAGCCTTGCTAAAAAAAAAAGGCTTACAAAATATCTATAGCAATTACTTAAAATTTCTGTTATTACACAAGATTTATAGGTTGAATGTCTTTTTAACTAGGTAAAAAGTAACACAAATAATACCCTCTTTTCTCAGATACCGCTCCCACAATAAAAGTGTACCAGTCTGACACAGTAGGAAACTCAGCCACACAAAAGAATTGTCTCTCAAAGAGAATCCCTAAATTTAAAGTTACAGAAATAATCTGTCAGTCTAGAATGATAACAAGTGCTCAACAAATGCTTTTTTTTTTCCCATGTTATGCTTCCTAATCTGAATACTTTCATCAAGCTCTTTCCCACCCCTTCTGGATTATTAACTGATAGATATTATATCACACAAGTACAACAAATATATAGGGAAAAATCACTTACCAGGAGCACAGTACTTGCAGCATTTTTTGCCAAAGGGATATTGATGCTCTTTGCACTGCAACCCCAAGCAAGGGGGAAAAACAACTGCCAGCAGCAAGAACGAAACGCTAGAATAACGCAAGGAAAAAGCTACAGCCACCATAATGCAGCCCCACCGTCCCCACCAAATTCTGACTGCAGCAAACTCTTGGAAGAGATGACAGCAAACTGCTGGCAACCAGAACAAATTCATATGTCGGTTGCTGGGAATTTCCCAGCAAGTGTTCCACGCCCCCAGACTTCTTCCCACCCCTTGGCAAGCTGATTTTTTTTTTTTTTTTGCAGTTTGTAATCGAAATACTCAGAAAGGCAGCATGCTGAATAGGATTATGAAAAGACTGAGCCTTAAAAGAGAGCACCTCTGGCCTGGTACGTACCTCTCAGTGGTGTCACGTACGTGGTCTGGATGTTGGGAGAACTGGGTGATCCTCGTTCTCCTAATGAGGAAAATTAAAGCAATGCCGAGGTAACAGCTGAAAACCCTTACAGATCTGAGCCACACGTGAAATGAAACATAGCCCACACAGCCTTACGCCCTAAAAGGTGAGGTGCTGATGGATTCTGGCCCCTTGGTCTCACTGGGACGGTAAAGCTGTGACTTTTATTGCTGCATAAAAACAACCAGCTAGTTTTGATGCCTATTTTATTGCACAGAAGCAAAATCCCTGAATGCAACTCCCTCCTGCTGTACAAACCAGCAATAACACAGCAGGGTTGGGGCGCAGCACAGCAGCACTGCAGTCCAACCCTCACCTGACCCAAGCACGTGGAATAGACCAAAATAGACCAGAATAGACCAAAAATAGACCACACTAGAATTAACAGGTTTAGCTATCCAGATTCGCTACTGGAATTTTACTAATCTGATGTTATTGACCCAGGATCCAAACTGAAAAATCTTCCAGTGCCAAGAAATTTCAGCGATCTTTATTGCAGAAGCCCAAATAAAAGACGTCCTACAGTAATCGGATGGTTTATTCAAATTAAACACATCCAGACTTACCGGGCAAAGTGGATCTGCTGGCAATTTACATGTAAACGTAAAGATTTCATTGGAACAGAAGCACACTTGGACGCCCGATTAGCCTGCAGTACCTGGAAGGACTGCACAGCAATACAGCTGGCATGTTTTAGCCAGGACTGCTGCTTTTCATTTCTTTCTTCAGTTCCTCTGAGACTGTTTATGAGTGGGAGAGAAGATAGAAAAGTAAGGCAGAACACTAACTGGTTTTCTACTTCTCCTATTTTCCAAGTATTTTGGAAAACAATCGCTATGGGAGAGAAGTCAAACCTTAAAGCCATTCCTTCCCAAAAGAGAGCAGAGCCGACAGCACATAAACCAGACCAGCTAAACTTCACCACCTTCACGCTCAGAATCTGCATGCAGGAATATCCAAATCTCTTCCAAGTGCAGGATCACACTCAATGATATTTAAGTGGCTTTATGCTTCATGACTCCGTTATTCCCTCAACGACATCGAGCCAGACTTTTAAAAAATATGCTTTCACAAACAGCAGCAGCCTTTACTTGTTCAGTAAGTCAATTATTATTCAGTAGGAAACTGAAAACAAACCCTCATTATATTCAGAAGCAAGGTATAGTTTAAAATTTGCTACATACATTTAAACTGAAAACTCTCCAAATGCTAGAGCAGCAATGACAAAGCACTGAGATTCCTTTTAAGGATGTGTTTTTTTTAAGGATGCTTTAATACAAATGAAATACTCGTTAATGAAGGCAGTCGGCGCACAAACTTTCAGTTCAACTTTTACGCAGAGCATCCTCAAGCATTACCAGGCTTGGTTTTGCCAGTCCTTTATGTGGCCAGTATTATGCAAGTAAATAAAACATGGCATAACCACAGTGCTCTCTCCCTGGCATTTACTACACCCCTCGGCTGGGTTTTTGGCAATGGCTGTTAGCCTCTCCCAGGCAGTTTGACATTGCCACGGGGACTCAGCGGCAGCAGGAAAAGTTTCAGAGTGGTGAGCTGAGCCATGCTATGGGTCTAAAATAAGACCTTGTCCTGCTTTTATTGAACATTTTTGGACAGATTTGGTTCTGAACATCTATAGACTGCAATCAAGAACATGTGGAAGACAGCGGGGACTGACCAACGTGTCCAACTTCCTAGGTCAGTCTCCATAAGCTCCTTTCAACAGAAGATTATCACCTGAATTTAGCCATTTCTTACACTTCTTTCAAATCATATTTTGATGTCTTTCATCTGAAGAGTTCGATTTTTTTCCCCATTCACCGAGAAACCTAAAATCAGCAACATTTCCAAAGCACAAAGAAAATTATTTATATGCATATCAAAAGACTCTGATACAAGCCATTTAACAACAAAAAAGTAAAAAGTCAAAGTGAATACTGGAACCAAAAGACAGCCATACTTATATTTACATTATATTAAGAGAATAAATTTAATCAAACATAATATCTATCTTGGATTTTTCAGGCAACCCCTCAAAAAGAGGGGTTATTACAGTAAAGACAGAACTAGAGAAAAAAAAGGTTTTTTTTTCTGTTTAGACATTGGATATGACCTTTGCGTTGCTTGATGCTTTCAGAGACTACCCAAAAATAGACTGATCAAAAAGCTTCTCAAATGCTGACTGCACGTTGCTCTAACAAAGGCAATTCAAAAAGCGAAGCCTGTATTTTCCCCTGCCTTACCATTCAGCATCAATGAAGAATTTTTTGAAAGAAAATCTGCACAGAAACAAGTAGCTATACCAGTTTCAACAGTAAACTGTAGTTAAGTAGGAATTATACATCTAGGTGAACCCCATTGTTCTGTGCAGCATCTGAAGTCTACAGAGAAACCTTCCCCATTGTCTCATTGTGAAATCTTTTTTTTTTTTCTCCTTTTTTAAGACCTAAGCAATCTCAAGTCTTCCACATTCACAGTGCAGTTACAAATCCTGTCACTGGCTTTCTTTTTAAAGTAGATGTGGACGAGTTTCTCTGTAGTATTTAAAATAAGTTCTTCCCCACGGCTCTTAAAAAACGTTCTGTGATGGAAGGAGAACTTGTATTATTTTCCCAGCAACGCATAGCTGGGTTGAGATGCCTTACGAAAAAAATGGAAGATTAGCCAAATTATCACAGCTGAATTAGGAATCTCAGGAACATGACTATCATCTTTTTTCTCCTGACTCTTAAATACCTGTAACAGTTACTGGAGACAGGTAAGAACAGCACTTACTGGATATAGCAAGTTAATTACAGTGTTAAGCAAAGTAAAATCCAGTAAGAACTGAATTCCTGAGACAAACAATGACAAAAACCAAGGAACCCACTGATACTGAACACAAACCATTAAATGTATATTGACTACACAAAGCAGTGGGACAGTAAAGAACTAAGCATGACTGGAAAAAAAAAAAAAACAAACACAGCAAGAACAGTCCAGGCAGCAGCAACCTGATCCAATTTACTGATTTTCGTAACTAAAACATTCTGAAATGAGTATGACCATAAACAAAATACAAATGTAACATTTGTTGAGCAAAACAAAAGTATTTCCAATCAGTCTATGTATGGATATCCTCATGGGGCCAGAACACACATATCTGAACCGCAATCCCCTTTACAAAAGCCAACATCTTTCAGTGTTACTTGTGATTTCCATGGATCAGCAGCTATGAGGGCAACAAGAAAAGTTAAATATTTAAGATACCTCCACCAAATACAATTAGCAAAAAGCAGCTGAAACTTCAGCTGGATTAACTGTACAAAACAGGGTGAACCAACATAGTCCAGTACCTGCCTCATTATTTAATCAACTTTTTTTTTTTAAACATACTGAAGGCAAAGCTGTAGATCTTCTATATGGACGGAAGTTTTTTTTAGTCTAGTACAACACACTGTACGCATATAACACAGATAGCAGCAAGGAAATTTTCTGTCCGTTTGTGTTGGTTTTTATTCCTTTATTTTTATTTTGAAAGCAGGAAAGTGCTTCAGAACTCTGGAAAAGCGAGCAGGGTCAGAACTCCTCATGGACGTTACGTGCATAGTCCATAAGTTTGCTGCCTGTGAAGTATTCACTGTATTTTAGGATCTCCTCCAGCTCTAAGTGGTGGTTTTGATTTTCATCTGCTACTGCTATCATTTGCTTTGCTTCATTTAGGGCATTGTATTCATTCATAGGATCCATATATTCCTAGGACAAGAAAATCAGTCATTTTTCAATAACCAAGAAAACATTTCCACACCCCAGGATTATCAACCCTGGCTCCATGTAAACTTCAACAAAAACTTCAACAATTGTGAGAAAAACATAAAACACCCCAAAGCAAATGTAAGTCATAGAAAAGAGCGTTAGAACATCTTTGTTTCAGGCTTACATTCACCTCCTGGCTATTTTTCCATTCACTGCTTCCTTGTCCATTCTAAGAAATACAAGTTTTCTCAGTTCATGCCAGTACCCACAAACATTTTTGACATTTTGGTTGCAAAATAAACCCACCACCAGATCCAGTAATTTGTGAAGAAATATAAATTCAGAATTAAAATCAGAACAGTGTCTTTCTGCATCTCCTACATTTCCTTGTTTCTGGACATAACCTTTTTGGAGGATGTTCAATTGAGAACTTTGTTGTTCCGTTTTAAACCACCCAGGTTGGAAGTCTCAAAAATTAAGCATTAAATCCTTCCTTCCGCAAACAAAAGCCTGAAAAGGCCACAATCTACAAACCACACTTAAAAAAAGATACAAAAAACACCCTGAAAGATAGAGCTCTCTGCTATTTTCTAAGCTACTGGGGCCCCAAGGTTTTTTCATTTTGCCTGTTTGATTTTTTTTTTTAAATGAACACACAGTTTGCCAATTACTTGTTTTGTACGTGGAAGTATGAGTCATTCTCCCATTCACCAGTGCACCTAATGAAATTTTTGACTTGCTTTCATGCACTACATATCCATGCAAGTGTTTGTGTGACAAAAAACCCTAACAGCATACCTATGAATAATAGCTACGCTAGGAAAACTCCCCCTTCTCCGAGAAAGAGCAGTACAACATCCTACTCCAAGCACTGTTGCACAATACTATAATCCAAAACAGTACACACATCCTGTACTGTTCATTCAAATATTTCTGTACTTCATAATCTCTAAAGCGGTCTCAATCTTGTATTTAAAAACCACCTATTGACTTCAAGAACTAGAAGAGACTCACCTCCAGCTCCTCCATTGTGACAATACCATCATGGTTTGCATCAATGACCTCCTCAAACTCCTTTCTTCTGTCTTTTACCCAATCATCATCAATGTCTTGAGCTTGCTGGTTCTCTACAGTACCAACAGGCAATGAAATGAACTCTGAAAGGGTAAGCTTCTTATCTCCGTCTTGATCTACAACAGAAGTACATGGAAACTGAAAAGTATTTGCTTAATGTCCATAAAAATGAGATATTCCTTCACGTCAGAGTTGTCACTAGCACAGCTGGTGTGGTTTCAACAGTCCACAGTCCGGACTGCAGCAGAGAACAGCAGCTACTACTTACACCTTGTTTAGGAGAAAACTTTGTTATGGTACCCATTCAGTGTTTAGAAAGCTAAAAACCATACCTGTTAATATACAAAAACAGAATTCTACTGGGCCTGAAAGATACACCAGCTGGCAGTCTGGGCATTTATTTTATTGATGTTGCTGTGTTATTTTTTTCCACCCTGTATTTGCTGCAACTGAAAGTTTCTGACAGCTGTGCGCATATCAGCATATCAAGTAAATTAATATTCATAAAGGACCGTGTACTGGAATTGATTTGTCTGTGCACACGACACTTAAGCATCACTGGAAACTCTTCGTATTAAGCCAACTACTAGCAAAGTTGAAGTTCACTTTTTTCTTTTCTTTTTTTTTTTTGAGGTGTTCTAGCAGTTCCAAATATGCATAACTATTCACTCACCAGAAAAAAAAACATTTGTTGACAGTACTCAGGAATTTAAAAAAATATTTTTTTCTTAGAAACCTCAACTATTTCCGTTTTCCTAAGTGTATGTCAATTCTTACCTGGTTGCTACACTGCAGAAGTACAAAGCAATTAGTGCCTCATTAAACATTCATATAAATATATTTTGGAGTATTTTAATATTCAACCCTTTCCTACTATTGCTGAAGAGACCCTATGATGCAGCAGCACTTGAGTGTGAAGCTGGGGCAGCTGATCAGCTCTGTAAGAAGTACTCAGAATACCTTCATAACATCTAATGCTGTGCTGCTCCTTAACAGACTAAATTTAGTCTTGAACAATGCACAGAAAACCTCATTGATATACCAATGTTTGTGCTAACAGCATGTTTTTCTTAACACGTCATATTGAAATGTGTAAAACAGCAAACAAGACGTGCCAACATTTCAGATAGAGCCACGGCAGTACAATAATCTTACATTCACCCAACAGTTTGCAAGTAAACAACTCTGAAGAAAACATCTTTTAAAATAGCATACCCAGATCTCGGATGATTTCTTTGACCATGAACTTCAGCATTCCCTTACTATGCTCTGGGTGAAGAAAGGACAAGAATTCTTCTTCATTCAACAACATATCAGGAGGTGGGTTGTCAGCTTGGTACCATCGATCCTTCAGGTTATCTAAAACTTCCTGTGCTAGAAATTTAAGATTAAAACCGTTATGTTTAAGGTAGACAGTTTTAAAAATACTGCCTACCCCTATTCAATTGTTTAAACAAGGATGACCTAAGAACCAGTTATCATACAGTTAAACTTCTAGGGAAAGAGGGTGCTAAAGGGAAACAAAACACAATTGGTTTGGAAAAGTTAGTGCAACACTAGGAAAGATCCTTTAACCAAATCACTGAGCTGAAATTAGGAGATGAAAATATTTAGCTACACCTGGACCAAAATTTCAATGTAAGAAGTGACTAGGGACACTATAAGAAGACTTCTGCACTGTCCTTGCTCCTCCTTTTTTCTTTTACCCTGTCAAAGGTTCAGAATCTAAAATAATCTCCTACCCGGAAAGCCTTTATCCTTTGGCTCAGAAGCAGCATCCAGTATTTCAGCCTAAAAAATTGATTTTTTGCAACTATGAGAGACATAAGAGGTAGTGCTACAAAAGAAAACTCAGAAACGTTAAGTACACACCAAGAAATGCATTTTAGTTTCCAGTCA